AAGCAATAAGTGGTTCTGCATGCTCTCAATGTATGTACCACATTTCTAATTTAGCAGAGCTCCGCTTTAGGCTGGGGAAATGACTTTTAATAACTGTGGGAGGAGAAGTCCAGCCCCTTGTTTAGAGGCTTGTGTTTTAGCTGTGTGCTAGAAATCCTGGGTGGTCCAAAGTCTTGTGTGTGTTCTCCAGCTCGGGGCTGCTGTTGTCAGAGCTGCAGAGTGGGTCAAGGGGAAGAGGTGGTTGGAGTGGAGGTGGTCTTTCCTTCTTTTGGGCTCTAAGGGGAGGTCTCTGGTGGGAAGAAGGTTTTGAGAGCTAAGCTCTTTGCAAGGGGATTCAGACAGGCGCTTTCTAACTTGAATAGTTGACACTGTAACCAAAGCTACTGGAGATTGTTGGGGATGTAACTGAATCTTTCACACCGATTCTTATGCAAATTCAAACATATGCTCCTGGTTTCTAATGGGACACCTACAAATACAGCTGGCTCCATTCATAACTCTGCATCCATGCACTGGATCTTTAATTGCTAATGACTTTATACTAAGAGTATGGTTTGCAGAGCTGCATCTGTAACAGTTTCTCAGTGCTGCTCTTACCTGTACACATGAAGTTGCTCTGTAGATTTTATGTAAGTGACCTGTGGAGGTTCTGCCACATTGTTTGGTGTGTTTGCTGCTGAAACTGTCCGTTGCCAGACTGCTGTGGTTCAGTAGCAAAGTAAACTTGAACATTTCAGTGCTGTTTTCTTTGCTGACATGTTGGGGCTGATTGAAGGTAAGTTAAATGACCTTGAGTTCTGCAGAAAAAATTTGGGGTATTTAACACTGAGTGCAAATAATCTTAAGTTTCTACCCAGTAAATCTATAACTGAGTTGATGAGCACATTTGATTATTTTGGGCTCCTGGGGGGGGATTGGTGTCTGCAATCTCATGGCACAGCTTCAAAATTAGGCTTGTTTTTTTACATAAATGTGCCATGTGGTAATGGAGTAGTTGGTCAAAACCATGTGGGCTTAATTTCTTTAAAACATAAACAGCCTAGAAATGTTTGTTTATGTACAAAATATCTAGCCAGTGACTGTAAGCATTTCCATGTTTCTACCAGAAATGAAGGTAATTATATAATAAGCAAAGATTCATATGGCTTAACTTGTCTCCCATCTGGCATTAGTTAAATTGGTGTTTTCATCTGCATGACCTCTCAGGGTGGGGGAGAAATTATAAAGATAGAAAACATGGCTGAAAAAGACCTTCCCTAGATCATCTTCTGGCCCATGTAAGGGCTGGAGCAGCTCCACTGAACAACCCCTGACAGCTACTTGGGGGCGTGACTACTGCTGCTCTGCCATGATCCATGTTACTGGGTAGATACTGTCAGAGTTTTAAAACGGTTGGTTTTGGTTGACCGAGAAGTTGTCCTGTATACGGTCCTTCCTCAGTGTATAGATTTATATTTAGACTAAATAGATTAACTACAGCAGGAAGAGCTTCCTTCTTAAACAAAAGCTATTGTTAGAGCATCACTTACCGTAAATCTCTAGTACTTCTAATCCTGTTCCCCTCCCAGGGCCCTTTCCACCCTTCCATCTGCCTGCTGATTTACAGTTTGCAGTTTCTTAGGGCTGTCTTGCAGCCTTCCTCTCTGGTCTCTTCCTCTCAGACAGTTTACAGTGTCAAAAGGATCATTGCAAAATGTCCTCTTTCAGGAAAATATACCTGCATGCTTTTTAACTGGTAGAAAGATGATATGCTGCTTTCCCTATCAAGTTGCACCCACTGCCTTAAAATGAAGGATTTGCAAGGAAAGCTGAGAACTGCAAGAACTGGATCATATATATTTCATGTTGCTAGTGGCTTGCTAGGGGCTGAGCTCCTTTTTATTTGCTCTTCTACCTCTTCCCTATGCTGCGCCTGAGAGTGTGCCAGAATTTAAGGTGCTCCGATTTCTCTTTCAGGCTGGCAGGATCTGTATCTTCTTTCTGCCAGGATTCTGCTTTATTTTGCTTAATAGAGTTGAAGACCATTAATGTAGGCTTTGTCCTTGCTTCACAAATAGATTTTGAGTGTCTGCAGGTACTTGGATAAGCTTTGCCTGCTTGTGTTCAGTCCCAGTGAGGATCTGAGACAGCTACTTACAGATACCAAAGCAGATCAGAGGATTTTTTCCTCCTGACATGTAGTATTCAGCAGCTCGAGTGTAAAGCTGCTCGCTGAGATGAAACTCTGGTGGTTCTCTACCCTTGGCCTATGGAGATGTGCTTGAGGGTCAGAAGCCTGGCCAGTGCTTAGTCCAAGCAAGCAGGTAGAGCTTTTTCCAGGGAGCAGGGATTTCAGAGGTGGATTTTCTCAGTTCAGCCTTTGGTCAGCATGCTCCTGTTTTTCTGACACGTAAATGGCAGGTCCTGCTGGGTGTCCTTAGGAAAACATTTATGATAAGCTTTTGCTGTTTATTCAATTGTTTCCTTGTTCCAGGATCATAACCTAAACATACATGCAGCCTGGCAGTGCCGAGCAGCTCTGTTTATGTTCCTCCTGCACCTGCGTTCAAGGCTGGCTTTCTAGTGCTGGTCCCTTGCCACGCACGTGTTGAGTGCAAAGTGCTCAGCTCTTCTTGATGCCCCACACAGATGCTGATGGTACCACATTTTGAAGGTGCATTTGCCTTGCCTGGGTTTGGATGCTTAGGTTTGTTTTGCAGCGTTGGTCTCCTGCAGGTCTGGGATTCCTGGTGTTTCTGCCTTTGTACAGCGCTAGCATTCGAGAGGATGAAAATCCTGTTGCAGTCAAGTGCTTGAGTACAGGCTCTGCTCCAGAGCTGGATTGTGAGTAGGTTTTGCCCAGCCTCACCAATGTCCCAGCTGCATGCAGCTTCCTGCCTTCTCGTGGTATTTTCTTCTCCCCTGGCTTCTCTCAGCGTTGCCACCGGCTGCTGTTGTGGTTTCAAGCTGTGAAAGCAATGTGCAGTGCTTGGCTCCTCGGCAGACTTGGAGTCGGGGCATGCTTTCCTGCAGAATGGATCACTGTAAAACTATATGGTGAATTTTGGTCAAGTCATACAGTTCTTCACAGGGCCTCTAGGGAGGTGGGGAAAAGGTGCTTTATCTTGTGTACTTTTAAGTGCAGTGGAAATGACTCTGAAAGTAAAGCAAGCAACTGTGCAGGAATCCTACTTTGCTTAGCTTTGACTATCAGCGTGCTGGATGCTGGGCATGTGTTCGAGGCTGCTACCACAGTGAGCTCTCAGAGATAGCTCTTGGTTTAGGACAACCATAAGATGATTTCACTCAGCTTTTCTTTGCTTCCACTAGGTTGTTGTATTTTTCTCTGGTGTTGGTCAGATCTGCTGATGGTTCATATTTTAGCTGGGAAAAATGCCCCTTGTTGGGATTCTGGTATGTCTGTATACAATCAAAAATGTTGAGTGGGCTGGGAATAGCTTCCAGCAAAGTTGTATCCGTTTCTTGGAGCTCTTTTGTTTGGTAGAAATTCCTTTCTTTTCTCTCCCCCTTCCCATCCCCCTGGCAGCCCACCTCTTTTCTACAAGCACATGCTGAGGTATAATTCACAATCATGTGACTGAAGTGAAATATGCACAGCTGCAAATGCATTTTTAAATGATACTTCATTGTTAAGGCATCTCTCTGAACAGGTTTGCAGTTCCAGTAGCCAAGTGATCAGAATGTGGTAACAAAGAGCATTTTGTTGAAAACATTGACTTTGATTTTTATCAAGCTCTGAGAATGTTTTGACCACTCTTTACTTTTGAGTGCAGATAGGAAGTATCTGGATCAGGGTAGATTCACGGGCAGGGGGCGGGGAAGTACATTAAATGTGTCCCTGAGATAAGGGTATGTAGTTGAGTTTTCCTTTGCTCTCCTCATACTGTATTGCAGAAATCATATGACAGCTGGAATACAATAAAGGACACATTAAACAAAAGTTTTATTGATGTTTGAAGCATCAGGAATATCCAGCCTTGCGTGCTGCAGCTCTCTTCCACCTTCCCACTGAATGGAGAGATCTTGCAACTCTCTTCCCTCTTTGGATCCATCGGACTTTTGATGCTTTTGTGATTTCTTGCTTTGTATGGTGTATAACAAAGCCCAGCAACTGGAAGCTGCAGGCATACAGTATTCTGTCACAGTCACTATGGCCCAAGGGTGCCAGGATTTGGTATGGGTCTGACTGAATCACAGCCATACCAAGAGCCAGTGTCTGTTTATAGGTAAGTTGAAGTAGATTTATTGACATCCAAGACATTACAGAAGGCTTGTATTAGTTTAAAGGCAGAATTTGGTCTAGTTGAGTGTGAACAGTTCTCTAACCTCTGGAAATTCAACAGTTCATCCTGTCTCCCACAGTTCTTGTCTCATGAACAGGCTCCTTCTCTAGCTCTTGTTTCTCTGTTCTCTGTCCTCTGCCAGCAGGCTGCTGCTGTTCCTGCTGATGGTCTCCTGGGCTATCTTGGTTCCAGAATTATCACCAGATTTTCCAAGCCGTTGCATGGGTAACTTCGGGTTTTTTCTTTTGTGAGTGAATGCACCCTCCACCAGCCCTCCAGGAGGTCCTGCTCTGAGTAGAAGCTAATCTGTGTTTGAGATGGTACATCTGCAAACAGAGGACCCTGCTGAGTATTGGTCATGGGGAGGGCACCTGTCTCTGCAGTGTTCTTGCTGATTCGTGTGTAAAAACAGAGGGACAATTTAGTACTTTGTAGCAATGTGGATATTTGTGTGGTTAGAACTTTCATATATGTAACATACGCAAAATCTCTTAGTGAAACAGTTGTAGCATGGACTCTCCTTGGCTCCAGTGTTCAGCAGGTGTTAGGTGCTTTCTTGTTGCTGATAAGCTGACCTTTGCTTCACGGTGTAGAAATGAAGGCTCAAAATAAACACCTGGGAAGTAGTAGCAAATCTGTGCTGTCTCCTTGGAGAGCTTGGGCTCACCAGGATTGTGGGAACCCCAAAAACACTTTTCTTGTTCTCTGTTTCTGTAGGGAAATATTTCTTCAACGATGTGAATTTGACTGCCTCTGTGCTGACTATCATGACAAACTATGGCCTGGGAGACTTCTTGTAAATTGCATGCAAAATCTTAAAGCGGGAGGCATTATTCTACTGTTTGTAAGATGTGAAAAGGTAGGGATGGCCCCTCTCATCATGGCTTCAGTGTAAGTACCCAGGCTCCAAAGGAAAAGAGCGTGAGGGTTGTTGGATTTATATTGCCCTGTAACAGATGGGCACAGAGATGGGGGTTTAATGTTTTACAGGTACCCCAGCAGAGATTTTTTTGGCATCATCCTTTAAAATCTCAGCTCAATCTGCTAGCTGTGGACCATTTATCAGGTTTAGAAAATGTGGTACTTAGTAGATCATTTGCCTGTTAGTGTATTTGAGGCTATTGGTGAAAAATCTCAGCAGTCAGAAACATATAGTGTACATAAATACATTTAATGTATTACTAGCCACAGGCCCAGATGCAGAGTTTGATGTGCTTGGTATTAGCTGTAGTCATGTGGTGAAAATCGGAGGTTGAATGTGGTCCTCTGAGTGAGGAGAGCATAAAATTAAAGATAAATCCCATCCTGATGGTTGAAAAATGTTACGGTACTTGTCCCTCTCTCCTCCCCAGTGATGATCCTCAACTGTTTCTGTGACAGAAATGCTCTTTGACAGCCTGAGTATGTGCACGTGCTTTCAGGATGCCTCTTGCCTCATCCATAAACGGGAGTGCTGACCACAAGATGATGCTGGTACCTATTCCTTGCTCTTAGCATCACCGTCGTGTGAATGTTAGCTGACTGCATCAGGCAAAGGTGTTGGAAGAGAATGTTTTCAGGGAGCTGAGACTGGTCTGGATGTAGAGTTTGGTCTCAATGGGTGATCTAATGGTGTGGTCGTGTTCACAAATGGAGTAACTCTGTCTTAATGCTGGATAGACTCCTCGGTAATCCCTCCCAGCAGTGAACCTTAATAACCTGCTGAGGAAGAGCTCCCTCGTATCCAGCCTCTACTTGTTCATGCCTCATTTACCTCCATCTGCTTATTCTGTAGAGCATCTACAGTCTATCTTGAAAAATCTGTGTTCAGTGGGAACTCGTAGGCCTGATGAAAGGTTGTGGAGACTGAATGGATTATGATTGTTATAAATTACTTTTTCTTTTATTGTATATATTCAGCATTAAAAATCTTATGGGGGTCTGAAACAAATTCTGAGCAGTGAAGACAAGCATCTTGGAGCACCCTGTGTCTAGCACAGCTTACTGTTTTGCTGGTTTACACAGGTCACTGATATTTTAATAAATATTCTTGACAAATTGAATTAAGAAGTTCAGGCATTTGGTTTGCTTTGCTGCTCCCTTATTGCTTTCAGGAATGAAATATCACTAGCAATGATGCTGAAGAAATGTAGTATCTAAATAATATTGAACCTCTGCTTGCCAGCTCCACTTCTGACAGCTGCTGAAGAGGTTTAGAGTATTAAGGAAATGCAACTGTTTCTCTGGAGTAAATCACTGTGTTGTGCCCGCCACTGCAAGTGTTTGGCATGGATGGTTCTTCTGAACTCCCTTAGTAAAAATTGTAGTTCCTTTTTTTCCCTGATAAACATAAGCTTTCAGAAAAGAGGGTAAGCCAAGTCTGAGTTGCCAGGTTTTCTCCCCTTTCCATGAGAAATGCAGTGAAATCTCAGTCATGAAGGGTTTTTTTACAGAAAATAAAACAAGTAGAAAACCTCGTGCTGAGATATTTCTAAACAAGTGCTTTCTTTTTCAGTAGCAGCTCTTTAAAATAGAACATATAGAGTATATTTAGATATGAAGAGAAAGATTGCAGGGGGGCCGAGAAGACATTTTTAAAGTGTTGTTGAGAGACATTTTGAGATCACCTGGAGATTGGGAGTTTCCCTAAAGGAAGATGCTTATCTTGAGAGGGGATCAGAAGTGCTCTGAAAACCTGAGCTGTTTGCAGCCCCGCTGCAAGGTCTGGAAGTGTGTCTGTGTGTCTCCTGGCTGTCCCCCAGCCCCTACAGACAGCCTGGAGCTGCGGGTTCCCACCCGCTCAGGTATCTCCTCAGAGCGGCGGGAAGGTGTTTCGTGTAGGGTTAGTCTTTGTCAATGAAGAATCTGCTGCTGTTTCCACCCTAAAGTAACCTCCGTGGGTCAGCTTTGAAGACTACAAGGGATCCTAGTTTCTGTTTATTAGTGCGCTTTTGGTGGGTTCTGTAGTTTTCAAGGCCTTTGGTGAAGAGCTTGTGTTATGCTTGACAGCACGCTAGGCACTGCACTCTGTAAGCCCGTTCAGTCCAGTTCAGCTGGTTTTGGAAGTTAAAATATTGCTTCTGGTTAATGCAGAAGTTCCATCCCTGGCAGTAGTGGTGGTAGTTTTGTTTCAACCATCTCATTCTTGCGTCGACCTGGGTAATGTGGTTAACTATTTGGCTTTTAGAATCTCACTACATCCCTTATTCCTATTTGGTGATTTTCCTTCCCAGCTTATCTGTGCTCTTCTGAGCACTCCAGCAGACAATGTGCAAATGAGCAAGCGCTGCCCAGAATATTTGATGGAAGAAACACAAGGGATAGATACGGGAGCACAATGCAGCTTCAACCAAAGGCATCAAGAGAGGCATTTCTTTCCTTGCAAGGAGTGTTGAACACTTTTGCATTTTCAGACCTTTTTTGACCACTGTTAATATTGCAAAGCTCCTCTCAGTTTGCCCCTTCCTTTCTGGGAAGGCAAATCTGCAAGGGATAGTACATTTCCGCTGCTTTACCCTCCATGTTTTGTTCCAGTTTGAGGGATGTTAACCAGTGTTCCCAATGTGTTTAATGTTGAATAGAGTTCCCCAGCTTTAGCGGCAGGATCCGGAGTTCTTTGTGAATTATATTTAGTGCTGATGGAGGCTGCTTTGTCAGCTGTGTGTTGTTGCCTTGTAAAAACTGGCACCATTCAAATCTAAATAATTGCTTCTGGGATAGAAGAACCTTCCTTTTATAACTATTTTAATGTGTTTGATTTGGAAACATCCTTTGAGCTTTGGCCGGGGAGCAAATCGGTTGTCAGCGTTGCAGTCCCCTGTTCAAAGCACCTGTGCACAGATGAGCTGGTGCTGTGGGGCTCGGAGGAGCTCGGTGCTTGTGTGACAGCCACAGTGCTGTCAGAGCAAACGGCTAACCTTCCAACCTGCTGTTGAATACCTTGGGGTTTGGAGTTGGAACTTTCCCTTTGCTGTTCCTTCCCCATAGTTCAGGCTGCTGGTGCTGTATTTTTGGAACCTCTGCATGCTAGAATGAAATTGTACTTTGGAGGGTGCTAGATAGTTCTCCTGTGTTTGAGGCATGATGAGAGTTGTGCAAAAAAATTGTTTCTGACTTAGGTAACAAATTCTGATATTTCTTTGATTGTCATGCCATTCATCTCTGGAGTCAGGGGAGGAGTGAGCCGAGATTAAACATGGGGCAATTAAAGGAACAGTGTGGACCATTGGCTCTGCGAGGTATTGGGGTGACTGGCTACACATGCCAATGTGGAAGAAGGCCAGAATGGCAGACATTGACAGACTTGCTGCAGTGAGAACAGCATTGGGATCTGTGAAGTGTTCTAGTTTGAAAGCAAGCCCGTCAGCAAGATGCTTTGCATATTTGATTGCTACGCTGGCTAATACCAAACGTACCATCAAAGTTCACAATTTTTTTTTTTACTGCTGCTGGCTGTTCTGCCTTTATCCTTACAGGACATTTTGAGTTCTCAGTAGAAAAGCAAACAGCCATTTGGGCTCTAAATTTTGCCTGTGTGGTTCTCCTATCTTGTTTATTTTGGGCCATATTGCAAACTTCACAAACAAAACCCTGTTCACCTGGCCCTTGATGCAACTTAAATCAAGGTTACAGAATGATGGTCTGTTGTGAATGGGCCACCTGCCCTGGCTTTGCTGCCTTGAATCCAGGTAGGTCAGCAAGGGAAAAGCAAGCCTAAAAATGAACACAAAAACCCACCTCCAAAATTCTTTTTAAAGAACAGTTTTCAGAAAGCCTATTTATTCAGAGTGATGTAAGGTGGTTGTCTTTCAGAGAAGCATCAAGTCTTAAGAATTACATGCCATCAGGATCTTGTGTTTGACTAGGAGGGCCACGTGTCTTGACTTGTTTGTGAACTGCAAAGTGTTTGGAGATGGTTGAGTGAGAAGTAATTTGATGCGACCCATGGTGTGAGCCTGTCCAGTCTCTGGAGTGACAGGCTGTTCAGCTTGCCTCTGCATCGGAAGGTGTCGTGGAAGCTATTCGGAGTGGAGTAAGGCAGAGAGATGGCAAATTGTTTGTGCCCTGACAGGAGGCCTGGATTTGGGTATACCAAAAAGCCATCTGTTTTTCCTTGACTGCTTTCTTAGCTGGAGGCTTCCTAGTCCTGATTTCTCATGATGAAGAGATCACAGTGACAGGTAACCTGAGCAGAACTGAGCTCTTCATTACAAGCTCTTCTGACAATGGCCTGAAGTCAAGGCTCCTGTTGGCATAGTTTTTCCCTCTTAATGGGAGCCTTTGATGGCTGATTTACAGATAGAGGAGATCAGGATATTTCAGGCTGAGTCCTGGCCTCTGATGATTTGCAGGCCTTAGGAACAGTTCGTGCTGTGGCTGGGATTGTGGTGTCTCCCCCGGGCACCAAGTGGGTAACAGGAGTGCGCAGAGAGCACGGCACCAGATGGCACGGCAGCAAGCTGTCACTGTGGGCCCTTCAGCAGTGGGAATGAAAAGCAGAACAGCACCCAGCATTTTGAAAGTGAGTGCAAGAGAGCTTGGAGACCTCTGCTTCCTATTAGCAAAAAGGAAATACTAAATGCTAAACCAGACTGATCGGTGCAGGTCTTCCCTCTGAACCTGCCTGTGCTCAGATGCACACTGGCTCCTCGCTGCCAAGCGCATACAGATTTGGGATGGGGCAGGGGAGCTGCTGGGGAAGAGGTTGTTTGGAGAACACAGTTTTTGACACAGTAGTGAAGGAGGATTTGCCCATCACACTGCTCTGGAGGGGAGTGAGGAGGATCAAACAGGCTGTTGGAGGAGCTGGTCTCGTTTGTTGTGTGGTTTTGGGGAGCTGGTGGCGTGTGGGCTGTGACATCCCTAGTTGCTGTGGAGACA